GGGCCTTGATCTACAAACTCCAAAATAAAGTTACCTTCAGAGTCTCTTAAGACACCACCAACCCCTCTATTACAACCAGCTTGTTCAATCGCTCCATCACAATTTAATAACAACACAGAAGAAGGAGGTTTAATCCACCTAATAAACTATGGCACCGTTGCTGGCTTGGTGTGAGCATTATGAATTTTAAACTGCTCCAAAAACTCCATGGTTCACTCAACAATCTTAGAAAGCCCATCAGTGGTCTTTCCATAAAGCACCTCATTGCGAAGCTTCCAAACTCTCCAACAGCAACACACAAAAAGTTCCAAGTCACAGTCTGACATAGTATGAAACATAACATCCAAAAAGTTAGCAAAAGAGCCTTGTCTGACCGCCAAATCAATATTGAAGGAAGTTAGCGCCCAAAACTGTTTGCTGGGTTTACAACCCCAAAAAGGATGGACAACGTCGTCCGCCGCCGTCCCACAGCCAGAACAATAAGTTGAGACCAATACATTCTGTTGAACAAGGTTTAGTGTTATAGGCAAGATATTTAAACTTGCCCTCCAAAGCAAGATTTTAACCTTATTTGGAACCTCCAAATGCCAAAGTTTTTTCCAAAAAGCACATTGAGTTCTAGAGTTGGAACCTCCAATCTCCCCATTGACCTCTGGATCACAAATTCGTAATGCAAGGCAATATCCAGTCTTCACAGAATATTTACCTTTTTTGAGAAAAACAAAAAACGCTTATCTTCAATATGCCCAACCGATGACAATGGAATGCTCAAAATTGCCGAACAATCCTCGTCACAAAAAGAATGATTTAGGAGAGTCCTATTCCAACCACCCGACGCTGTAATTAGATTAGAAACTTTGGCCTCTATAGAAAGACCTCTATTTAATAGAGGCAAAAAAGTATAAGGCTTTGGAATCCATTTATCATGAAATACCCTCACATTAGTCCCACCACCAATGCACCAGATAAGGCCCTGTTCAATAACTTGTCTTCCCCATACAATTGAGCGCCAGATTAAAGAAGGTGACTAACCATACCCAACTGTAAGAAAATCACCATTTGGAAAGTAATGAGCTTGAAGGATTCGACCAACCAAAGAGGAAGGGTTCTCTAACAGCCGCCATGCTTGTTTGGCTACCATAGCTTGGTTAAAAGCTTCAAAATTTTTGAACCCCAGTCTTCCTAAGCATTTTGGCCAACACAGATTCCACCAGCTCTTCCAATGTATGCTCCGTTTCCCTAACTTCCCCCACCAAAATCTCACCACCATTGCTGATAATTCCTGACATAAACTTTTTGGCAGTTGAAACACCCCCATTGTGTATGTTGGGAGCGCCTAAGCCACTACTTTAATAAGAACTTCTTTCCCTGCCATTGACAGCAATTTAGCATTCCACATGTGAAGCTTGTTCCACAACATGTCCCTCACATAATTAAACAATCGATGTTTACTCCTTCCGGTAATAGTGGGCAACTCCAGATAACGTGTATAACAATCCACAATACGTACTCCCAGAATGGATGAAATAAGACACTTCATGATTGGATCTATTCTAGGACTAAAGCTCGCTGTAGACTTCGCAAAATTAATTTGTTGGCCTGACGCTCGCTCATAGGTTCTGAGAAGAATCATTAGATTATAACAGTCAGATAAATGGGCATTGCAGAATAATAAACTGTTATCTGCAAAAAAAATAAGTGAGAAAGGGTAGGAGTGCCTTGGGCCACTGCAACACCACGAATTTGCTTATTCCTTTGAGCCTGAGACAACAATGTCGAAAGTCCTTCTGCACAAATGAGAAAAAGATAAGGCGAAAGAGGATCCCCTTATCTTAATCCCCTAGAAGAAGTAATGAAACCCATTGCCGACCCCCGAACTTTCACAGAGAAGGATACAGTAGAAATACAATCCATAATCAAATCCACCCATCTGTTGTTAAAACCCAATTTCCTCATCATACCGTTCAAAAAATTCCATTCCACCCTATCGTAGGCTTTTGACATATCAAGCTTCAATATCATCTTTTTTAGAGCACTTCCCCCCCCCCCTCCTTTGAATGTCGTGAATGCTTTCGAAAGTAGCAATAATGTTGTCAGTAATCAACCGAGAAGGAACAAAAGCACTTTGGTACTCCGAGATGACATCCTACATAATTCCCTTCCTTCTGTTCACCAGTGTTGTTGATATCAGTTTATAGAGAACCAAGCATAGACTTATTGGCCAGTACTCAGTAACTCGTATTGGATTGTCCACTTTTGGGATAAAAGTAATGAGAGTGTGGTTGATCTCTCACATACTTGCCCCGCCATTTAGCACATTTAGGCAAAAACTCACCACATCATTTCCAATTACGTGCCAGTACCGCTGGTAAAATAGAGCTGGCATCCCATCAATACCAGGAGATTTAGTGAGAAACATTTGTGAGAGCACACCTTCCAATTCGGCTCTAGTAAAAGGTTGGCTTAGTCTTTCATTGTGTTCTTGAGTCACTTTAGGTTGCACTGCTGCCAGTACATTACTAAAATCGTTCTCACCATTAGTGGTAAATAGCTTCTTGAAATACTCACAAAAAATAGAACCAACGCCTTCGTTAGAAGTATTCCACACATTATGATCATCAAAAATACCTTGCATAAAATTTCTCCGTCCCTTTTTTTTAGCTTGTGCATGAAAAAAATTTGTGTTCCGATCCCCATATTTAAGCCAAGAAACTCGATACCTTTGTTGCCAGATCATCTCCTCTCTCGTGAGTAACATATCCAACTCACCAGCCAACCTACGTTGACATCGCACTACATCATCTGTTTGCGGTTTCCTTTTGAATCCATCAAGTTGCCCTTGAATCCGACGTATCTGCGTGGGAATATGGTCCACCTTTGATTTATTCCAACCCAGTAAGGACTGTTGGCAATCTTTTATCTTAGTAACAACATCACCTTGTTCCTCTCCCCAAGCATGAGCAAATGTCTCTGTACACCCATCAATTTCAGACCACATTTCTTGAAACATAAATCTTCGAGCCCAACGCACCAAATTTGAGCCCACAAAATGTATAAAGATAGGAAGGTGGTTTGAAACCAAAGAGTTCACATGATGTACTATCGCTCCTGGAAAAGGAAGAAAAAACGCAACACTGGCCACTCCCCTATCCAGCCGAAGTTAGACTCTGTCATCCCCAGACTGATTGTTTGTCCAAGTATATTTGTAACCTTTATACTTCATCGATGTCAAACCACAATCCTCAATAGCCATGCCAAAGTCCCGCATTTGTGACGTCGATCTATATCGTCAACCCAAATACTCATTAAGCTTCAATACTTCATTAAAATTACCTTCCACTAACCATGGACCCAAATGTTGTATGTTTGATTACTCAGTTTGTTATTGGGCCTCTTGTCCCAAATGCAAAAAAATTGTTTATGAGATGGCCGGTGTTAATAACTCACGTGTTACAATATGAATGAATGAGGAGTTTATATTTTAAAGTATAATATCAATAAATAAAGTACGTCTAACTAGATTAGTGAGATCATGTAACGGTGCTATATAGGGTCAATTTGGGATTGCTGTCACTTTTTAAAACAGATGCTTCTGCTGTGCTTTGAAAATAATCAGTTTGTAGTCATACCAACAAATCACTTCAATGAGGAGATGGAAGCCTAGCCATTAGGTTTATGCAGAAGACTTCATTAGGACCCTCAGAATATATATTGACATATTGGGTTCGCATTTCTTGTTGAAACTGACACTACTACCACAAGTGTACAAGTATATTCTGCACCCTTGAGCTTCATTGTCAGTTGACCTTCCAACATGGAAGGCTCCCTCTCCCATCATGATCATGAATCCCACACCTCATCAGATTCCGGTAGAAGACACGGTGGTTGGATCACCTTCCCTTTCATCACCGGTCTCTCTCTCTCTCTCTCTCTCTCTCTCTCATACACACAAACTAACTTTGTTGCAGTTATATATATTTGAATATTAATTAATAAGGTTATCTTCTATGTTAAGTATGTAGGGGCTTTGGCAGGCTTGACACTTGCAACTGGAGAGTGGCTTAATTAATAGTATTTTATAGTAATAATAAATAAATACCATTTTTTTTCTTTTTGTCAAAAAATAAATAAATAATTACAACCCCATTACACTGGCTATCTCTCTCTCTCCCCTCCACATCATCGTCATCCCAAACCCCATTACCATCGCTGACAGTGTTTGAATTTTTTTTTCTTTTCAATTTGTTGATTTTTGAATTTGCAGAAAGAGAGAGAGAGAGGAGGGGTGGCTTGGGGCTCTGAGTTGGGACGAATCTGGGCAGTCGGGGCTAGGAATTGGGGTCGGGAAAGGGGTGGCTTCGGGCTCATAGTTTTTATTATTATTTATTTTAAATTTCATTTTTTATAATTGATTTTAAAATTTCTTATGTGGAGGTGGACTCCAATTGCCACGTAACCCACTCATTTGATGGATAATGATCCATGTTTACGAAATTCCAAAAACACCCCATCCACGTTATCAAAATTGACAGACTTTAGGATGGTGTTGACGGGAGGGGGCAAAGTGGGTCACTAAACCTCGGTCAATTGATGAAACTGGGTCATTTTGAGTTCGAAGGGCAAAGTGGGATTACCAAAATTTCAGGGGTATTGGTGTAATTAAGCCTAAATAATTAGAAGGGGACCTAAAGCGGATGGTTCATTCCAAAGCCATGGAAGAGGCTGTTCTGTGCACACTCCAACAAGTAGAAGATGTCAAAAAGCGTGTTTGAATGAAGTTCGTTTGGAATTTTAGTGTGTTTAAATAAAGGCTAGTTTTGCACATTTTCTTACTCATTGTCAGTGCTATTATTCGAGAGATGCTGAAGATGATGATGCGGAATATAGCTGCTTCTTCTTCTTCTTATTGCACCAGCAGGAGATGGAGAGGTATGCCTTGTCTTCACTCTAACTCCACTCTTGTTGTTTTCGCCAACGATTACTTTGCTTTCCTTCACTCTCAACCTTCTAAACCAATCAAATCTACAAGAACCCAACTAGAACAGCCAGTGAGAAACTCCCCCAAAATCACAACTGTTGAGGATGCTTTCAATGTGTTTGATAGAATGCTTCAAATGCGTCCTCCGCCTTCAGTTGTTCGTTTCAATCAAATATTGGGTCAAGTTTCGAAATTGAAACATTATTCGGCCGTCATCTCATTGTATAACCAAATGGATGTGTCGGGAATTGGACCTGATGTTTATACCCTAACCATTCTCATAAATTGTTATTGTCATCTAAACCAAATGGGGTTTAGTTTATCTGTATTGGGAAAATTCTTCAAACTTGGTCTTGAACCAAATGTCTTTACCTTCAACACTCTGATCAACGGCTTTCTTCTGGAGAATAGAGTAGCAGAGGCGGCAGCTCTTTTCCAGAAAATGATGGGGGCAGGTAATTGTCAGCCGGATGTGGTTACTTTCAACACATTAGTAAAGGGCTTTTGCATGAGGGGTAACAACCATGCAGCTATTCAATTGCTTAGGAAGATGGAGGAAGGGGTTTGCAAGCCCGGCCTAGTTGTCTATAACACAATCATTGACAGTCTTTGTAAGGATACACTAGTTGATGATGCATTGAACCTCTTCTCAGAAATGATGAGCAAGGGTATTGCCCCAGATGTCATTACCTATACATCCTTGATTCATGGAGTTTGCAAATTAGGCGAGTGGAAAGAAGCTACAAGGTTGTTGAATGAAATGGTGAGTAAAAATATCTTTCCAAATGTGTTAACGTTCAGCGTCTTGGTAGACACACTTTGTAAGGAGGGGATGGTTGTGGAAGCAGAAGGCGTGGTTGAGATGATGATTCAGAGAGATATTGATCCTAATTCGGTTACGTACAATTCACTTATGGATGGTTACTGCTTGCGAGGAGAAATAGGCAAGGCACAAAATGTTTTTGAACTAAAGCTTAGCAAGGGCTCGATGGTTGATGTTGTTTGTTACAACACATTGATAAATGGATATTGTAAGCATAAAAAGATTGATGAGGCCATGATGCTTTTTCTGGATATGTCTCATAAGGGACTAGTTGCAAATACCGTTACCTATAACACTCTTCTGGATGGTTTTGGCAAAGCAGGTAGAATACAGGATGCACAAAAGTTGTTCTCTGAGATGCAAGCTTGTGGCCAACTTCCAGATGCTCAAACTTATTCTATTTTACTGGATGGCCTGTGTAAAAACCGACAACTTTCTAGGGCAATGCAATTGTTTGGAGAGATGGAAGCGAAGAAGTTGGATATTAATATTGTGATTTACAATATTCTTATTGAAGGTTTGTGTATAGCTGGAAAAATTGAATCTGCAAGGGATCTCTTTTGTGGTTTATCATCAAAAGGACTTGAACCGAATGTGAGGACATACACTATAATGATTAATGGACTCTGTATCACGGGCCTTACAAGTGAAGCAGAAAAGTTTCTTATCCAAATGGAAGAGAAAGGCTGTTCTCCTCATGGTTGCACCTATAACACAATTATCCGAGGGTTCATCCATAATAAACAAGCATCAAGGGCGATGGTACTTATTCAAACAATGGTAGAGAAGGGTTTTTCTGCAGATGCATCAACAATGGAGTTGATAGTTAATTTACTGTTGAAAGATGAAGTGGATCCTGCTTTGTTGCCTTTGATAAAAAAATCATTGTGAAATTAATATGCCTATTTGGACAATGAAATTTGGAACTGCTGCACCTTCAACAACCATAAAGGTATTACAGTGATTGTGCGTATGGCAGGCCGCAGGAGGTGAAAATGCCTTCTCACTTGCATCCTTAATTTCTGGTATTAGTTCTGTTTAATGGGATATCTCTTTTGAACTTTTCCCTTAATCTATGATGATTTATTTACTTTGTATTCCTATCACTTGGCATCTTGCAGTATATAGAAGGCCAAATATATAAATTTAGGTGTGCCTTCTCACAACTCTCCTAGCTTGAAAATGTTTCTGCAGATAATGTGTCTACTGTTTCGGGTATCAGAAACTTTAACATGCTTTAATTTGCAGCTAGTTTATGTTTTCTTTTCATATTTCCACCCCTACAGTAAGTAAAACTCATGTGTGTTTGTAAAGGCCTATATTTGTACAATTTGTAAAGGAGTTTCCATCAGCCACTTTTAAGTTGACGGTTGCTTATATAGAAGTTTCCATTGCTATAGGACATTTGCAGGCACAACTATAGAGTCGCGCTCAATACTAATATTTTATTTTTAAAAAATTTGAAACCCAAGCGCTCGCACCTTGGGCTGGATTCCACCCATTCAGAAGTTACACCCAAATGCAAATATGTTACAAATTACGAATAAATCAACATAAAATCGAATTACAAATTGAGAAAATTAGCATATTAGGTGCTCCAAATAGCTTACAAATGCAATGACCCAATTGTTTACAAGAACCAAACAATTATTCTATGAAATACAACAACAAACACTTAATTATACCCAAATCTATGAAATGCAACAAACAAACAAAACTCGGCAAACGGCAACAACCGCCACAGATTTGAGAAGAAGACAGCAACACCAAGAGGAACTGCATAAAAAACCATCCAAGTACGAAAAAATACAGAACCATCCAAATCATTTACTGCATAAAAAATATGTACTGGTAATTCACATCATGGACAGAAATTGACAATGGATAACTGAGTTGGGAATTCAAATTCTTACTGGAATTCTATCTTGGTATTTCTGTCGGATCCTAGCAGCCTCTGCCCGTCTATCATCACTGAGAAAAACCCAGAAAATTTCACCAAACAAACATATACAAAAGTAGAGCTTCATCAGATCTAGAAGGACCTCCAAAAGTAGAAGCTTCCATTTTTTTTTCCAATGAAGGATGCAGAGGTAGGGAACTTGGGAAGAGAAAAAGCCTTGGAAAAAATAAAACAGACTTAGTTTTTTAAACTTTGCCATCAAAATAAAAAATAAAACAGTCTTGTTTTTTTTTCTTTTTAACTTAGAAAAGTACACCATATTTAAATTAGAGTAGTGATTTTTGGGCACAAATATAATTTTTGTGTGTGTAGTATCGCCACATGTGTCAGATAAAGACACAACTTCTATTTGTGTCTACACAAGAAAGATTATTACTTTTCTCGAAGAACTTGTCAGTTGGTACTTGATACCTACATTAAATTGATTTTTGGCATTATTTTTTGTGTCCAGTAAAAGAATGTGCTCTATGCAAATCGATTTAACACAACTATTTGTGTTTTATATGAAAAAGCACAAATAAAATTTGTTTGTGCGGTAAGTTAGAGGGGAGGGCACAATACATGTATTCGTGCTCTTAAGTTGGTGGTCTTTGTCAAAGACTCTTTGACCGATTTTGTAGTAAAGGTTAACTGGTGATTTGGCTCCTGAATTTATATCTAACTTTCGATTTACCCCGTATTTTTTTTTTTTTTTTAGAAAATTAAGGATATGAACTTATTTGTTTCGCCAATTTCCCCCCTGCCGTCTAAATCTGCAACATTTCATCCGATTTTCCATTAAATATGAGGGCAAAATGATCATTTTGTATATTAAAAATAAATGAAAAACTGAAAATTAAAATAACACACACACACACACACACACACACTCTCTCTCTCTCTCTCTCTCTCTCTCTCTCTCTCTCTCTCTCTCTCTCTCTCTCTC